TTCTGTGCATTAAAATAGTAACTGTATTATGGCTAGAGATTTTACTGCTGGTAACTGTGTTGACCTGTTTATTTGGAAAGGTAAATTTTGAAACTGCAGAATTTGAAAGATAGCACAAGGAAGAAAGTGACTGCTCTGTGCACTTCAAAAAGGCTTTGGTCTTTGAAGTTCAGGAATGATATTTGCTGTAGCCCTTCAAAAGGGTGTTTGCCTAGGGTCTGGATGCAGCCACCTGCCTGCCTTAGAGCTCTAAGAGGCTTTTGGGCTTATTTGTGAGTGTAAAGGTAAAACCACACTGAAGAACTTTGCCATCTTTTGGGGGGTGATGGTGTTCAGTACAAATAACTCGCAATATATTAAAATGTAGCTGACTACAGTATGAGGTTAATTGCACTGAGAAAACTTGTGTCTGTTCAGTTTGCTAACTTCATCATATTTTTCATGGATCAGTATGTTATGTATGTTCAAAAAGCTGAGATTAGCAATCAAAATGAAAAGATGAGAAGCAGCAGCCTATAATGGGATTAATGCAAAAAAGCATGTATAAGGGTCACCTATTTATTGAAATTACGCCTTAGGAACAGTTACTGAACAGCAAGTTTTAGGAAGATGGTTATGTTTTTTTTTTAAATAGTAGGAAATTGGAGTTTCTGATACTGTTTCACAAGATTAATTTTCTTCAGTGATAACCTGGGGAATTCTTTAAATTACCTCATCTTAGTTGAGGTAGCACCATATGCCACATCTGCAAAGATAATTATTTTTAGGAGCAGCTGTGCTCTTTTGATTAAGTCTTGAGTCATGAAGGTCAGTGTTTTCGAAATGGGAAAATAGAAGCTATTGTTTTGCATTTTGGTGTGTAATAAAGGATGTCTGTCTGTAAGAGTCAGTAGCATAAACCTCATAGCTGCCATCTTCTAACAGAATTCTGAGGAATATAGAAATGTAGCTATATAGCTACATCAGGGGAAAAAAGCATCAGTCCTAATTCACATCTCGGTAAGACAACACCTGGTGGCCAGTAAGCGACTCTAGAGACTTGCCTGTTAATGGAAATATTATCCTGCTAATGGCATACTCGCATCCCTGGATCATAGCCCGGGTTTGCAGCCTCAATTTAAAAAGACGAATTATAAATTAGTATCTGTAACCAAAGCAAAATAAAAATTCTAAGAGAAAGTGCATGCCATATTCTCCCACGAGATCCAGAACATTTTTAGTAGATATTACTGAAGGTTTGCATCCTGTAGTAAGCACTGTACTATCTGTAGTCCCCACATGAACCTCCCTATAACAGAGATGTCGTGTTAAGCCTACGGCCTCTTATAGCTCGAAATCAGAGAGCTGTCACTGATCAGAGGAGCACATCTTAATCAGGTGAGCACTCTTCATCACAGAATAAAGAGAGGGAATTAGGACCTGAAATCTTCACAGCATGTCTTGTGGTAGTGAAAACACCCCCATCTGCTTCAGATATCTTGAAAAGTAAACTGATAAACCCTTTACGTGCCGTAGTGATGAGCATGATGCGTGAAGGCAGAGCGATGGTTTGCCGGCGACGTCTCTCTGCTGCAGCTTCTTTCTGCCTCTTGTTGCTGAAGAACTAATGGGAGCAGGCAGCTTGTGGAGACAGGGTAGCTTTTCCTTGGGGAGTTAGTGAAAAGTGGGTTTGTCTTGTTGGCTTGGCTGCAGAGTGAAGGTGGCAGAGCTGAGAGGCCTGAGGGGGCTCTCTCTTTAGAGGTCACATGCGTGTTGAAAGCTACTGGTTAGAAGGGAGCCCAGAAAATAAAGGGAAGAGCAAAATTTGATCTTACTGTAAGAGAGAGAACTGTAAAAGAGCTGGTGAAAAGCCAAACATAAGTTCCTTATTGACTGAAAGAGCTGTGAATCTGAAGATATCTAGGCAGAATCTGACGTATTATGGTTGCTTGGGTTGTGAAGGACTCGGGTTGTAGAGTCCTAGTGACAGTGGATGCCAACCTGAAGATGATCAGTTGGGTGCTCTTTTCCATTAGCATCCACAGCTGCATATCTGTTATGCTTGATACCTCGAGGTATTGGAGTGACCAGCCATCAGTGGTGCTCAATGTATGGGCATGCGTTCTCTGCGCTTAGTCTAGGGATTGCACAGCCATAAGCACACTAAGAAATAAACTATGGAGCTTCCAAATATATCTCTCATAATTCACTGTTTCTTGGTTGAAATTATTCCACTTTCAGTGTCAGCTGAATTGTGGTTGGCTGAGCGTTTCTGCAGACAAGGCTGGTGGCCGCACAGGAAGCACTAGTCTTGGTTTGAATTGCACGCAGCACGAGAACGAAGGTTCAGCTCCACGTTCACAGAGCAGGAACCATGAACCTTGACATAAACCAGAAGCTCTCTCGTGTTGCAGATAATCTTGAGTGTAATGCATGTGCTGGGAAACAGCTGCTGAATTTAGCTATGCTCAGAGTAGCCAGTTTGACAGGAAATGCAGCTCTGAGGATTGAGGTAGCTGACCACAGAATTTTGTGTTCACCAGATTTTAGTAACTTCATTGGTAGTTGTTTTTAGTTGCCTGAACTTCAGTCTGACATGTGGCCTTTTCTCATTCAAAACATATAATGGCTGCCTACATTTATTTCACTCATCACATTCCTTTGACTAGCCTTTCCATACTTAGAATTTAAAAGTAGTTTAATTTTGGAAAGAGCACAGATTTTAAAGATCAAGCAGATACCAACAGATTTTTTTGCTTTACTTATGATTGGAAAGACTGCTCTACTGCTGTATGTTACAGACCTATTGCCCAGAGGTAACACAAATTTGTTGCTACTCCAGAATGTGACTCCCTAAATATATTTCCAAGCTATTCATTAATTTACTATTCTACTTGTACTGTTTAATTAAAGTCCCAGAAGACCTTCAATTAGTAGGCACAGTCACCAACATCATTTCTGCTATGGCTTCGGTTACCTGCACATACTGTAAACGGCAGCAGAGTTGTTATCTACATTTCAGCTCCCTGCAGGGTAGAGCAGTGGCAAATCAACTCAGTCTTCCTCTCAGTGAAGAGCATGAAAAAATAATGGACCTTACACTTCAACCTGAAGGCCAGGCTTGATTTGTAGCTTGCCATTAGATTGCAAAGTGACACATTTTATGAAGAGAGGCAGCGCAGAGCTTCGTTAGGCAGTACCAAGTTGTACCTAGCGTAGAGGCTACGTCTAGCCTAGATATGGGCTTGTCAATTCACTTAGCATCAGCCTGCTGAGTGTGATGTGCTTATTTTTAGTAAAGGTATAAAACCGGAATGACTTCATATATTCAGTGTCCCCCATTCCATTAAGGAGCAGGGTACACAGGCATGACCTGTAAAAGTGTTGTTTTACCTTGTCAAACGTCAGAGAAATTACTGCCCTGAAATGTTCACATTTGTCTGTATAATCTGATCCCTGAGCAAGGGAGCAGTATTTGGTGGAAAGCTCCTTCCCTTCTAGATGGAAAGGATGATGATCTCTTAGAGAGTATGAAGTGGTATCACACTATTCAAGTAAACCCAGTATACCAGTGTCATTTGTAACATCCATGCTCAATCCTCCCATGCATTTCAGGAAGGTTACCTCCATGAAATTAAGAGGTGCCAAGTTAGTTTTTTTTTTTCCACTTACTATTTTAATTCTAGAACCTACAGTATTTTGTTTTTGTGGGTTTTTTTTGTGTGTGTGTGTGTGTGTGTGTGTGTGTGTTTTAAGTAATTACAGAATAGCACCTCACCTATTGCCCAGTGGGAGGCGTATCCTAAACAATATCAAGTAAAATACACATATGTGAATCCTTGGGGCAAGAATAGCCTTGGCAAGGCTATTCTGACTGTGGATCTGGACAAAAAACTGAAAGTAGCCTCCTCTCAAAATATTGCTTTGAGCTCTAGGGAAGCTGTATCTCAAAAATACATTTTACGTTCTAATTGGGTCATAAAGGAAATTGCACTTGAAACTGAACTTGTTATCCGCCTTGAGCTGATGAGAGATTATTAGTTAAGCCTTGGTAGCCGGATCATTTGCTGTGGTCTCTTACCATGTGTTCCACCCCTTCTCATAGATGACTTGCAGTATTAAAGCACTCCACAGAGCCAGCCTGGCCGCAGGAGCAGATGGTGAAGGATGCTCCTTTCCTTAGCACGTTTCTGGAAAAAAACAGCCTTTAGCCCTGCGTGGCCTTTAATTGGTCTCACAACATATCTAGGGAAAAAAGCTTCAGTAAGCTTGCTACAGTTCGGTTATTACGTAGAAGATCTTACAAGACTGGCCTAAATTATTCCTGAAGTGATCTGCAGAGTGCCAGCAGCTGCACATGCAGATACCTTGCCCAGGGTTTTGTGTTTTTTTTCTTTCGCATCTTTACAGTCCCCAAGTGGATATAGTTCATGTGTGTAGAACCGACTCACAAGGCTGTGTATGTACATGACTTACCTTTGCTCTAACCCTGCAGTGTATCAGGTCTCCTGCCTGAATTAGGGGATTCAGCTACTGTTTTTTACATTTTAATGACCGCTCCTTAACTTCTATCCAGGCAGGTAATAATGAGGATGAACTACAGCAGGCATTTCTTTACACGCTGTCTACCAAGCTGAATTAATGCAGCGAGTATTTCATTTGCTGCTTTAAGCCACTTAAGGAAAGAAGCTAGTCCTGTGCTTTACTGTATCGTTCAAGGTAGGCAGACGTAATCATAGGCAGCTAAGTGCTAACCTTCGGTCTTCAAAAGGCATTGAGCTGCTATTTCGTATTCTCTGTATGACAGCTCAGGATAGTAGTCTTCCAAAGAGGTGGTATTAATGTAATAAATAGAATAGTAATGTCAGCAAGGAGACTATAGCGAACTTCTTGTAATCTAGGTTAATTTACATCTCTCTACTGAACTGCATTTTTGGTATCATTTCAGTAATTTATGTAGCTGAGTCACTGAAAAGATTTTTTGGGTTTCCTTTCTTTTCTTGTTCTTTTTCTTCAGCAATTTTGAATCTCCACTGATGTTTGAAGTTCCAGAGCACCAAGGCAACAGCGCAGACAGCTCGGGAAGCAGCTTGGGAAGTTCTGTGACAGCATGTAAGAAGGTAACTAAGTTTATTTTGCTTTCAAAGCTAGATATATCTCAAGTTATAGCTCTGCTTCTTAGCATTTGCATTTATTGAGATTACAAAATTAAACTAATGCCTTAAAAAATAAGAATTGATACAGAAGAATGAAGTCTGAGTTTTCCTACAGTATCTTGCCACTCCATGCAGTCTGCTCATCTGGCACCAAAAGGTATTTTATACATCTGAGAGCTAAATTTTGCCTGAACATTACTATTTTCATTATCTGAAAAACAGGAAATACAAGTAGTACAGAGCCTGAGTACCCTCAGGACTGCTCTTTAACAGGCTGCAAGTTTATGGAATACAGCCTGAAGGTTCAGAACTTTGTGTCTCTCAGTTCATCGTGATGTAGTATCCTGCGTGAAATGGAGCTTTTCTGCCTTCCCTAGTATCTGACTAGATTGGTTTCAGCAACCCAGGAGGTAATATAATTTGACTGCTTTTGTTTTCATTGCCTCAAGATTTTTTTTTTCTGTAGTTACTTAATTTAGAGGGCATGCAAACAGAGAGAAAAGCAATGCCTTTGTATGTCACGGGGTGGAGAGTGACATTAGCTTATGCAGATAGCTAGTTCAGTGCAACTGAGAATATACTCTACGTGCTTTCATTTATTCCTGCTCCCCAAGTTTGGACTGTGGTGGCTGGTCTAAAAGAAAGGCACTGTCAAAGACCTATTGGGGACAGCAGGTTCTCTTTTATCTCTCACTTTGCGACAACCCACAGAGCTCCACTGTCTCCCAGAGGCATAATTCTAGAGCTGATTAAAAGGAAAGCATTTGTTTTGCCCCAGAAATGTTATGAAGCTTCACAGTTCATCCAGTTTACTTACAGCTTTTTGTTTTTCTTTTCTTTCCATCAAAAATAATAATGCATTCCACTTATTTTTTCAAACGCATGCACACACATACATATATATACACAAAGAGAAAGTTAAAACATGGAAAGATATTATTTTCCTTGTCCTCCTGAAAACCACCTTGAGTAGGGGTGAGTATTGACAGCTTTCAGAAATGTCATTAATTGTAAAATCATTAAAATAAAAACAAACAATAGATGTGTTTATACTTAGACTGGGCCTCTCCAACTCACCCCTTTTCAGTACAGTTTATATTTCAGTACAGCTGAAATATAAAGTGTCACTAGTTCATTTATTCAGGAGAGTTTATTTCTAAGAGAATACCTTAATTAAATGAAAATAAAGCTATTAACTGTTACTGAAATCTCAGTTGTTATAGGAGTGTATGGAACAATGTCAGATAATTTGGGAGAATACCTTAGATTTTTGTTTATTCTCCAAGTTGGCCATTTTATATAAAACTGAATGACAGGAGCACAGCAATGAGAAGTATTTATAAATGTTCGAACTTGGTCACCTTCAGAAACACTGATCACATTTAAAGACCAGCCTTTACCACCTATTTTAGAGCTGCTTCCCTTGTCTGATCCCTTACATTTGAACTTTTCATTGTAGCACAAGTCAATTTTATGATTCTAGGCATACTAAAAGAAGTGATTCATTTCTGCCAACACTTCTGACAAACAGCAGGATATTTTGGGCTTCTTTACAGCACTGTCACAGAACGTGTTAGTCTTTTTTTTGTGGAAAAGGATACAGAATTATTAAAATAGGCCATAACCTTTTCTTTTATCCTATGCTAGTTACCGTGGGTTTTAAGGTAGATGAATAACTGGTGTTGGGATGAAGTACTGTATATTCCTGCTACAGGGAAATGGTTTAAATAGTTCACTTGCAGGTTTGCATAGTGGTGTTTAGCATGAATGACTCCTGACAGGAACCATATGAAATGTGATCTGTTGCCACACAGGCCAATGGGAACAAATGCAGAAGATCTGCTCCTTGATAGCTCATCTTATTCTGCATGTCCCACTTTCCTATCTTTTCTGATGAGTCGTAATTAAACAAGGCAATTAAGATGATCAGCCACAACGACGCAGATGTTTTTATTAGTGGAGCTGAGCTTTTTTAATGTCAACTTGGTTATAGACATTTACTGTATTTTAATGTCTCACAATCTAAACCTGGAAGCAGGAAGCTGTTACACTAAACTTGTATGCCATATTTTCCTCTGGGAAAGGGTGACTTTTCCAATGCACGCTGTGCTTGAGGCTGATTTACTTCATTGATTCACAACACACTGAGTAATGCTGACGGCCGAGTCTCTAGATGAGAGTAGAAAAATTTTTTGGTTTTGCCATTTTTTTTAGTAAAAAAGTTTTTTAGCTTTGTTTTTGCCTTTTTTTTAAAGTATGGTCAAAGAATCAAGTACTGGTTTAGCTTGTACCATTGTAAATCAGAAGGAGCCTCACTGAATTCAGCAAAATTACTAAGAATGTATGTCAGAGGAGTTGGCCCGCAACTTGCCTCAATTAGGTAAGAATGAAGAAAACTAAGATTGGAGGAGGAAGTTTTGGCAAGCAGTGCTACTCGCCATGAAGTGTGGGCTGTGAGCAAGAAGGATGCTGAGTGACAGCTGAAGTAGAACAAGTTCAGATTTCTTATCCTTTGATACAGAGCAGCTCAGTATATTTTGTTAAGACGTGCCTAACTGCAGAAGTGATGGTCAAAATGTGCTGGCAGGGTTACATCTCTTAGGACTAACTGTGCTCACACTGCATTTGAGAAGTTAATTAGCCTTGTTAATTTAGAATGACTCCTTCAGGAGTTTCCTTAAAAGCATGACTGTCCTAGCCAGTTCAGATGGATACACGCACACGCTTCATGTAACATGTGCACATACTTAGAAGTCTGTCATGAAGAGATGCATACATATATTTATTACTGAAAGACACAGCAATCTATAAATCATCCTAGTGATTTGAAATTTGACACTTAAGGCCAGAGTAAAGCATTTCTTTTGTTGCTACATTACTAGTATTTGCTTCCAGTAAAAACCTATCTCCTGAAAGGGAGATAGAGGTGCCAGGGGTCATGTAACCTCCCACAGGAAGAAAACTAGTGAAGTTCTGACTACCTAGCTTATTTCATGGATTAGCAGATTTCATCTGCTACAATCCAACTGTTATGATGAGAAGATGGGTTGTATACCAGTTTGTTGCCACACAATAATTTCTGTCTAGTCTAATTTCTCAGAAACTGGCTGAGATTTGGAGCAGAAAGTTCTAAAGTGATTAAACTGAAGACAAATTTGCTATGATTTTCAAGAAATTTAATGAGTCAGCTTGTTACATCAAGAGCTATTCCAGCTTAAAGGACTGTTCCCTATATATACAAAATTATGTCAAATTGGGATTATGACTTCATCCCTGAAGATAAGATGATCTACTATCAGATGAACTCTAAAATCTTTTATATATATATAGCCTGTGTGTATATAGCATATATAAAAATATAGAGTATGTGTGCATGTATCTTCAATTCTATGTCTTAATGAAAGCTTCAGAAAATTCTGTGATTGTTTTACCCATCAGTTTATAGTAGTTCCATTTTTCCACATTTGAAAATATTTATCAAAAAAGGGGGGCCATTTATAATGCTAACAGGAAATTGTTTCCATGAGATATGGAATATATTATTTTTCTCCATCTAGTCTCAGAGTTGTGGTGGCACAAATCCGATCTCATTGAGACAGGAGCTTATAAAATTTGTTGAGTGCAGAGTCATTGAACTGGTAAACGAGATCAGCTGGCAGCCCCCAAGAAGAGGTTGCTATAAATGTGAAACACTCACAGGCCTTTGCCATTCTCAGAACAAAGGCTTTAGGTATGGTGTCTTTTCATGAATATTTTGTAAGTGCTAAACACATTTATATTCTGAAAGTCTTAGGTAGAAATCCCATACCATGTCTATAGTACAAAGAATCTTTGCATATGAACCTATCTGCACGATAAAGCAGAAACAAAGAGCATAAGGGTGCAAAGCTTCTTGCTTGCAGACAGCATGAAAGGAACGCCAGATTTATGAAATGTAGTGTGTTTCCCATTAGTTCTTCCATCCTCTGCTCCTGGCTTTTATGCAAAAATCAATGGAGAATAATACAGGGAATTAGCTATCTATCTGGCTTTCTGCCAGAGAGGTAAAATTAGAGTGGGTGTTAGTCTGTGGGTAGTAATGAGCTTACTTCTGGATTGTCCCTGAGTATTAGCAAATTGTGTCAGCTCGTTAGATCAGCTCTGAACTCCCAGTCATCTTCCATGAGAAATGAGGAGAGACCTCAAGTTCTTTCACTTCTCTTCCTAAGCAATATAGGTCAAATGTTCCAGAATTTTTCAAAATACTACAAGACGCTGCCAATGCAAAATATGCAGTAAGATATAGCAAAATGCTGTGGTTAAATTTTTACAGGTAGGCAAAAAAAATTGTATTTTGAAATTACTAAAATTGAAGGCCAGATAGAACACAGCCAGTGTCTGTATAATGCAGGAATTGACAGAAATACAAATAAAATATACCTCCCTTAGGCCAAATATGCTGGTTAACATTGCTGCTGGGGAAGACAATATTTATTTATAGATAGCTATACTACATACATATATATAGCTAAGAAAAAACATAAAATGTTCTGCAGGTACCATCATTGCCATTGCTATTCTTTCACAGAACCACAGAGCGGTTGAGGTTGGAAGGGACCTCCAAAGATCATCTAGTCCAACCCCCCTGATCCAGCAGGGACACCCAGAGCACGGGGTGACATCTAGGCAGGTTTTGAAGACGTCCAGAGAAGGAGACTCCACAAGCTCCCTGGGCAGCCTGTTCCAGGGCTCTGTCACCCTCACGGTCAAGAAGTTGTTCTTCGTATGGAGATGGGGAAGAACTTCTTTACTGTGAGGGTACTTTCTCTGCAGTTATCTGTAAAGAGAAAGAGAAAGATCTTCTTTCTCAGAAGGATTTTGCAAAATGTGGAAAAAAATACCTAACTGGTGGGCCACAGATCAATTTAGCAGACCATCACAGTAACAGAAATACGTGCCTGACACTGGGTGATGTGAGTTCCTAGGTGAGCACACCAGCCTGACAGGCATTTCACACTGAGCTCAGTTCCTGCAGCTCATTGTCCACTCCTTGGGCTGGCCAGTGCACACATGTACCCTCAACGTCACATGCGCACACACCTCTTGTTCCCATTTCTCCCCATCCTCAGACATCCGTCCTTATCTCAAAGGAAAGGCAAGCTCTGATCTCTCCTGCTGTCAGCTGCCTCCCCCTCTCGCTGTGGCTCTCTGCTGCATCTCTGCAAACTCGCCCGTTCCCACAAGCTCTTCCTCCCCCACAAGTTGTGGGGTGGAGGAGTCCCTTGCTCCAGCTCCACAGCCACAGCTGGGCACCGCCAGTGCAGGTGCACGAGCTCCTTTCAGGTCTGAAGACATTTTAAAGAAATCTCATGCTGTCTTCAGAAGGACAGTCCTTTCTGAATGCAGCTCGCTGCAGGTGTGCTTTAGTAACATATTGGGGGCTGTTTAGTAAAAGGGAGATTGGACCCCCATTAATGTTGTGCATATTTATACAGGGGCAGCAGATAAGGAATTCAGTTTGGTATGGAGCACGGAGCTTACCAACCTGGCTTTGCTTCTTTCTAGGCTATAAATACTCCATGAGCCCCACTTTGGTTTTGTGGGAGGCGAAACTTGTCCTTATGCAGTAGAACTGACTCAACAGCACTGAGAGATAAAATTCAAAGCTTTAGTCCCAGAGTACAGACTGACCTCAGTACTCACTATAGCAGGTCTTTAACTACTTTCAGCTTCTCAGAAAGCAGAAAAATATATTTAAGAAGGAAGTGTTCGTAGCGTAGGCAGCCCCAGAAATGAGGCTGCTGGAATAGAGCTGATCTCTTGTGGAAAGGGATACAGTAAATCATCAAGGCTGCAAGTTTGTACACTTTGGTACTTAATTAGTTTTGCCAACATCTATGTTTACCACTTTAATGCAGATCAAAATTCCCAGCAATATTTTGCAATGCAATTGTTTTGGTAGGCATCTTCCTTCAAGTATCTTGAAGGACTTTCAGTTCAAGGAAATTGGCCAATATAAATCATTTGAATAAATCATTAGCTGAATAGGTGCAAAATGAACAAAGGCTCCTAATCTTGACTCAAATAAAATTTCTAGCCAAGATTCCCTTTGAGCTCTGTGATAGAATTCAGGCCTCTGGAACACATTAGGGCTGAGTAAATTTTTACATTTTTTTTTAAACTATTTTTAACTGTTTTAACAGATTCTCTGCAGTAACAGTCTGCTAGAGTCAACAGACTACTGGCTGCAGAATCAGAGGACACCATGCCAAATAGGCTTTCTGGAAGACAAGTCAGAAAGCAACTGTGCCTCAGTAAGTACTCACTATAATCCTTGTCTGGGGAAAAGTCCACTGAGAGGTATTTGGGTAGGTGTGGGGGCAACCACAGGACATGTTAGAGCAAAACAACAACGAAAAGAAAATCAGTGTTTGACACTGAAATAATAGTAATCTGCCTGTAGTTTTTGTAATTTCCAGCTTTATGTTAAAAGCAAGCACTCAAAGCAAAAACGCATGCAGGTTTCTATACAAGTACATTAATAAAGGTTACTTCAGATGTTTCCCCACATTCAGCCTTCAGACTTTGACCTTCCGTATTTTATAATGCTGCTAGTCTGCAACTGAAGAGAGGAAAATAGGCCAAAGAGAAAATTATTCTAAACTGTAACTTGTGGAAAGAGCAGGTATTTAGAAGGCTGCTAAATGTTCTTGAAGGCATAGAAACACAACTAAAGAGAAAACTCTTTCCATGTTAGATGAGGAGAAGCTGCTGAAGAATTCAAATAGAATTATTCTACATTTGAAATGGTGTGTAGGTATTATAGTGCAGTTAAATTAAGAATAGCTTTTGGTTAAGTGCATGTATGAATAAATGGGAGTTGTATTGCTTTACACACAGTCTTCATGAAGCTGGATGGCACTGTATTTGCAGTAGCTTTTTCTCTAAGGCTAGGCTCAGGAGAGCAGATCCATGCTAGGAATCGCATTTGGTTGTTACCACACGACCCCAGGGAGCCCGCAAGGGTTTAACAAACGAGCAGTTTTATCTCAGGCTAAAGGTTTCCAGTGTCACTCGTACCACACACCCCAAAGACCAGCTGGGTTTCCCAGAGCCTGTCCCTCAGGGCCACAAACATTTCAGCTGTGGCTGGTGAGCTCAGATTGCTGCTGTCAAAGACCTGACTCGACAGCAGCAATGACCCGAGGCCTTGTGTCCTGCCTGGGGGGAGGCAGGGTGCTCTGCCCTGATAAATGGTGCAGTTGGCCACACTGAGTACATGAGCAAACCAGCAAACAAGAAATTCTTCCTGCTGCGCAGGGATTGTTAATTCAGTAGTCGCACTGCGACCCTTCCAAGCGTTTCATTCTGTGTCCTTACCAAGGACTGCCACTAAATTAGCACTCTTCCCTCCTTAGGAGAAACTAGTCTACCCTCTTCACCATGGGAAATATCGTGCAAGTTGCTCTTAAATAACCCAACCACTTATGAAAGTTGCCACTAAGCTTGAAAAGTAGAAAAGAATATTATAAAAAAAACCCGAAAACAACAACAAAAAACCCCATACCTCAAAGGTACTGAATCAATAGTGGTTGCTTTTCCCAAAGACATCTGGTAATACATATAAAGTGTTCCGTTTTTATTTGGAATAGTTCATGCATAGCTGTAAGGGGTCTAATCTTGCTATAACTATAAATGCAACAGGACCATATGAACATGGCTTTCATAAATGTTATATTCATTATATCCAGTTACAGATTAGCACTCAGAACAAATAAAAATAGACTCCTGGCTGTCCTACATATGCTCACAAGTGTGCACTAACATTAATTTATTAAACACTAAACATTTAACTAAACTATACCAGATTGCTTTTCCAAAGGAAGATTTTTTTAAAACACAACAGGCATTTTCCGTATATATAATAGCTCATTAATTTCCAAACTAACTAATGAAAAGATAGTCATTAGGATACGAAAATAATCATCAGAGGAACTATATTTCATATTTGCTTTAGCTGCAATTTTTGCTGAAAATACAAATATTTTTGCAAGATATACACATCATACATCAGAGTATTTCAAACTCTGGTTCCCTGTTTTGAACAAAGAATTACTAGCATGTCCATATATCATCCAATATTAACATGTTGCTACCAAACGTCCTTGCTGGTAGTAGCTTGTTGCAAGTACTGATGGTCAGCAGCACTGGGCATAATGCTTCATGGGCTTCATGGGCATAAATAAGATGGGAAACCAAGTAATGGGTTACTTCTGTAACAGTGCGCATTTTTGAAATAGCAGAAGTGTCTATAGAATGGTACATATTTTTTTTTGTGACATATTGCAAAGTCGTGTTCCAGAGAACTGTATTTATAGTGCTACATGGAAATCAGGTCATTGCTGAAAGAAGAAGTATTTAGCTAGCAAGTGGTGCTTCCACAGCTTCCCTGAAAAAGCCCTCAGGGATTGCACGGGCTGTGGGTCCAGGTACTTGCACAGCCCTGAGCTGGGCAGGAACTGAGTCCTGGTGAGTCCCTGGTGCCAAGGCAGGACAGAAGGCCTATCTAGTGCAGTGCTCAAGGTAGAATTTGACCCTAGCCTTATAATAGTCATAATGTGAAAGGTCCTTCAAAGCCTCATAGACATCACATTTCTTTCAAGAAAGGTTTCAAAAAAGGTTTTCTTTAAAAGCTTTCCTGTATGCTTTTACCAATAAAAGACTTGATCAGACTCCTAATCTATCTCAAAACTCTTGCCTTATTCTTTAGACACACAATCTTTTCACTTAAATCTTATGCTGCGCTCTGTTTACTCTTCTTATCCAACTGAAGAGACCTGGTATTTCTTTATGGACTAATTACATTACCTAAGTCTGGTGACATTAACCCTATTGGTTTGCTTCGAGTATTTATGAGCAGGTAAGGTGTAGATAGCCAAAATCTCTCCAAGGTCTGTGGTCATCAGGGATTGACAATACAAATCATAAGGAGAAAGCATAGCAGGGTACAGTGCCTGTTCTCTGCTTGGTAGTCCTCATATGTTGGCAAGCTGTCTAGGAGAAGGAGTGTTGTAGGAATTATGCATGAGCATGATGCATCTTGTTTTAAGATGAAAGATCATCTTGTTTTAATTTTCCATTTCCACTTCCCCTGGATGAGTAAGGAGTAATTATTATATACGTTTTTTAATCAGAGTCTTTGGGCTTACCAAACCAGATGAGGTCTAGTCCAGGTGGACAGGGCTAACTATCCTAGAAATCCCTGTAGGGAAAAATTAGGGATTTCTAGGAGACGTTCAGCAGAGGCTAATCAGGAAGGAATAATTGGAGAGTTCTCAGAGCTTGAAGTGGGAAAGAGAATAAATCTGAGTTGCACTGCTGTTTGTTTCCATTTCTGTATTGGAATAAAGAATTTTACCAGCCCTTTTCAAAATCCCCAGGGCAGAGTGTACTGCCTTTCTATTTAAGATGAACCTATCAGATTTTGGTAAGCCATCTGCTGAGAAAGCTTCAGCTCCCTCAAAGAGCTACTTCTCTACATTGATATTAGACTGATATTATAAACGTACGTAGTGAAATGCTCTAGCATTTCATCTTTCCCTCTTCAGAGAATATTTGAATAATTGCTGAACATTAAATTAAACCTAGTTTAATTAGCAGTAATATTGTTTTGCAGCAGTTTAGTTTACTGCTGCAGATTAGAATATATTGTTTTGTGCTAATGTAATAATTAGATGATATAAATTTTAAAGGTAGTTTAATTGTGAAAGCTTTGTTTTGTTTGTTTATACTGAATAAGAATTTAATCAAAATACCAATAAAATATACGGATCCATGAGAAGCAATCATTCATAAGCGGAGCAAAGTGATTTACAAATGCAATGAAAATATCTGTAATGCAACGTTATTATTACTCCACAGAGAGACCTGTGAACAGTTGTAACTTCATGCATACGTATCTTTACTCATTTAACTGTTTCAAACCCTCTCTTTAACTGGGCCTATATAAATATTCCCAGCTTTGAACCTGCTTATAAACAAACCTTGGTTAGAAATAAACTGATGGCTGCATTGTCCCTAGTTTCCCTCCAAAGTCATAGGCTATCTAGTCCCTGAACATGTAAGGCTAAGTGGAGAAAATTAAGTTCTTCCTTTCTCAGATGACTTAGGGTTTCTTCTTCTAGCATAAGCCTTTCCTAAAGCACAACGTCTTAATACTGCTCACAGAAAAGTCATTTACGAGTCTCCTTAATGGATCCTCAGACTTGTCAGCTTCCTTTTCCATCACTGCCTGTACAATAAGTATCATCATCATGATTCAGGTGGTATTATTAGGCCGCTATAGATAAATCTCAGTTTATGTTTTTGAGGAATTCTAAAGGGAAAAAAAAAGCAGGTAGGGTATAAAACAGATGAGTGCATTATAGTCCTGTGCCCTTATAGTCCTTATATGCCCTCGGCATTCATTTAAAGGTACAGAGAGATTTCCAGAAATTCTATGGATTTTCATGCTCAAGACCAGTGATCAATAGCAGATAGAAGAGCTGTTCGAAGTGATATTTGCACTGAAAAAGAATCTTGTCTCAAAAACACACGCAGACTCTCACGCAATGCAACATCATGCCCTCTCCCTCTTCACATGACCAGCACAGAGATGGGCAGCAAGCCTCCCGCTACACGGCAGCCTACAAGACATTGCACAAACCACCGCTCCAAGAAAATGAAAACATGCCTTCCCTCCAAAAGCAATATTCTTGAATATACCTGTGAAAGGTAAGAGAATTCCCAGACCAGAAAAGCTTTCTTCTATATAAACACTGCAAAATTTTATGCCAAGTATCCTGGAAAACCACAAACAGGAACTTGACACCACTAAGTGGTAGTGACTGATATGGAAGGTGGGAAATCACAGTTCTTCAATTTAGGAAAAAAAAAAAAAAAAGGAACAACGTAAAAACAACAAATACACTGTGCATTTCTTTAGCTTAACAAGCTTTGCCATATCCTGCCAGCTTTTAAAGAGTCAATGTGTGTCAAGCTCATTTTTAAATATTTTTAATGGCTCATAGTTGAAAAAATAGCTGTTCAGGCAGACGGGTGAGAGAACAGATTCAAGAAAAGGGTTAAAGATCTAAGTATTCTTGAAATAATCCCTGCAATTCCTCCAACTCTTCTGCACTCCTGCTCTGTCAGAACACTCATAACTGATCACACACTATAAGAGAGAGTCCTGTCCTAACTGATCACACTATAAGAGGCCACAGAAAGTATGTTTATCATATAAGATATATGCATAGACACACACAATCATAAA